TTAATATTTTATAAAATTATGTTTCATAAAATAAATTAATCAAGAGATTTTAAATGCAAAAATACTGGTCGTTGCTAAATTTTAATGAATTATTTATTTAATATATTTTTTATCTCGTAAAATTAATGCGTTAATGCTAAATACTAAACTTCTCCAACTATTTTCATATTTGAGAAAGATTATTTTTTCATCTTCTAAGATTATCACAGCCATCTTAGGAAGCTGTTTAAATTGCTTTTAAAATAAATAATGCAGCAAACTTTTAAAATAAATTTGTGTCATAGGAATATTTAAAAATGATAAACAGTAATTTTTTCCTATATTGGTGAGGAGCAGAAACTAGAAAAGTTATGGCTAATACTATTTCAAAATTGCTCTCTCTTAAAAAGAAATATCTTGCTTTATCTATAGAATTAATTATCTTTCAAGTTATTTAAAATACAATGAAGTTCTAGATTACAGCATAAATACTATCTTACTTTCATTTGTCATATTTATATGGTAGTGAAAACGGATACAACGGGGCATAAAATCTTTCCAATCGTGCATTTAATGCTGAAAAGAGTTCAAATAAATAATGGAAATATAATGAGTTTGAGCCTAATTACAAAGAATCTGTTTCCTTTGAAATTAATAAACATTTTTACACTCTATTTTTTGGAATAATCATTTAATCAATCATCATAGCACGAAGAAAAAACGAACCTAACTGCAAAGGAAACTTGCTTATAATTCCAAACAATGGCTTCACTTCCAAAACTGTGTAATGTTATCATTTGAGTAAATATGTCTCCTTGAATTGCAGCTTCAACCTCTTTCAGCCTTTCTCGTGAAATATGATTTGTATATGAAGTTAAACAAAGGGAGTTGTGATTGCTTTGGACATTGTCGGAGTTTTGTTCATCCGAAAGAAGTTTTCGTGAGAGGTTATTCTATTTGCTGCATTTAATCGTAAAGTAATAAAACATAGTGTTTAGTTAGAATTTAATTTCTTAGTGTTAGATATGAATTTCACTTCTTAATTTTTCTCCCATGTAAAATTCTTAAAGTAAAATCTTCCTTCTTCGACTCAAACAAGTAGGAAAGGTGAGTAAATACTACACTGAAAAAGAAGTTGCTCTTACCAGGCTAAATACCTTTATAGGACAAACATTTTTCAAACTAATATTTTAATGCAATAATTCATATTGTGGGAAATAGGATTATACAATAGTATAGCCTACGTTTACTCATTTTTTCTTTTTCTCCCTTTTCTCCCCCCCCCTTCCTTTTTTTTTTTTTTTTTTTTTTTTTTTTTTTTTTAAACATTTCACACATAAAATAATAAATGATCTCGTATTCTTACTATATATCCCAAGTAAAATGTGGCGTTTGTAATTTGGTTAAAATATATGTGCTCACTGACCTTTGCTGCAATTAAACATAAAAAATTTTAACCTTACGATACGATGACAAATACTGTTGTCAGAGACTAGGACAACTCGTATTATATGTTTTAGCAGTACACGTATGAAGTCTTATTGCCTGCAGTGTTGGAGGAAATGTACTTTTATAATCAGGTGTCTTCTAAAGTGGAAATTACACAATGCTTTCAGCTTATGTTGTAACATACAATTAGATGAGTGAGATCTATCAACCTCATCAAACTAATGATAACCTCTAATGAGATGAAACTAATGAGATCTACGACAACCGGAAAAGCATTTCATGTGTCTCTGAAATATCAAAGTGAAAATGATATCGAAGGAATTATCCCTTTCACTTTTAACAGTTCTTTTTGTGTGCGGGTTCTTTTCATGCAACGGATTATTTTGTTGCACGCTCGGTTCGACTTTGCGTGTACATTTCTGGAGTTTTCTGACCTGCTCTTTTTGGCCTCCAGCCAGATGTCTGACCATTGGATTTAAGAATGTTTTAAAAATTATGTCATATCTAGAATTTTGTTCCCTAATATATTTAGAATTAGAAGTGCCTAATGTTTTCTATATGCTTGCTTTAAATACAGATACCTTACATGTTGATTTAATTATTTTAGGGATTAAATGGATTAAGTATTTGAGAATTAAGTGACAATTTCTAAACTGTTGTTAAATTATGACTGAATAGCAGGAAAACTAAGTTATTGAATCTCTAAGACAATCTAATTATTCAGATTGAATTGTTACAAATTACAATGCATAAATAAAAAAGTGAGTATCTTAATTAAAACTTTTATCAACTGTTTCTTGTACATGACAAACTGACAAAAATATCCTTAAGCATATTTAGTTCTTCTATTTTAATAGAAACTGTCTCATCGAAAAATTTCAACTGCAAACAAAAGCATAACTCGTAGTTTGGAATAAGAACTAATTAAACATACAAGCAGTTCTATTTAGTAGTTCAGCTATGTACATTTAAAGACAGTAATTACAGTTTGCCTTGCTAATTTTGGAGTAATATTTTAATCCATTTCACTTTTACAACACTAATGAAATCTGCGCATACCTTAAATTAGGGTAACTAATCAGAAATATTTATGATTTAAAATCTGCTACAAATAGTTATTTTCCTCTAAACAGAATGACGTGCCAACAATAAAGTGTACACACTGAACTATTTGCCGCATGACATAAAATACTTAATTTAATAATTTGAAAACACTTTTGTATTTCCAGACACTCTTTGAACATCACATGGTTATTTTTCATGAATTTATCTATTACACATCTAGGATATTTATAGAGATTATTTACTCATTTTTATGCAAGATATGGAAAATATATTACTGTTCAAATGACCGAATACTTTCCTATTAATGTATTTTGAACAAGTATAAATTAAATAACAACCTCGTAGATGCGTATATTTCATTAATATGCATTTGTATGTGTAGATATATAACAGACAGAAGTGTGAAATCGCAGCCATCATAAGCAAAATCAAAAAAATCGTTTTGTTTGTGTCTCACAAAATCTCGCAAGAACTCTTTGATTGAATTGTCTGAAAAAAAGTATTTGTAAGCCACTTAAATGTTTATCGTTGCCTTTAATCAACCTCAGAAGCTTCGATGTTAACGAATGTGAGTAAAACTTTAACACTGAATAATTACAAACACAATTACATCTAATTAAGTAATTACATATCTGCTAAAATGTAAATTGCATTAATCAATATTTTAAAGAATCAAAGACATCTCATATAAGTCGTTGTAATCAGCGCATCTACTGGCAAAAGCAAACTGAATATTAAATGTGTACAAAACTTTATGCGAAATGATTTATGAATTATTTATTAGAAAAGCGGTTTTTTTAGCAATTTAAACATGCTGGAAAAAAAGCGCATTAAATTTCAGTTTACTACAGATTTAGTTATACCTGTAAAAAAACTGAAAATGATGGTTTATATTAGCTTCACAAAAGCTCAGAGTTTTAAAAATGAAGCAAAAATAATTTGAAAAATAGAGTGATTTGGTTGGAATTCGACCCGTCACTCTAATATAATTGCATGAAAATCTCATTCAGTCATTTTGATGGATTCAAGTTTCTGTTTTATTTCACTCAAAAAGGAATGAACAAAAAACGTCCTCTGAAAATAAATCTGTTTTTGTATAAAATTCAGTAGAAACTAAATTTTATATTAAACTAAAGTCTTTTAATGAAGCTTGCAGATCTACTATTTTAGATAAAATGAACTGTGCAGAAATGAATAGTATTAATTTTCTTTCCAAAAACTTTTTATTTGTTTTGTAATAAAGAAGGGTTATTTGATAACATGCACATGAAAAAGAAGGAAGAAAAAGTGAAATGAGACGAGTGAAGAAAAGTAAATGAGTGTCATTGAAATTTTATTTTTCATAAATATAAACCAATGAATTTATTGAATTGAAGAATGTTATCATGACGACATGATCTTTCTTATCTGCAACATTTAAAAATCCCTTCTCTTTTATTAATCCTTGCTGCTGCTTATTTAGCTATTTTTTAAATTGCTGCTTATTTCAAAGATTTAAAGGAACGAATTGATAAAGTAATCATAGAAAATGAACAAATATAAAAGAATTGATAAAACAGTTTGTAACAAAATAAGTGCACTCTAACATGTTCGTATTAAATTGGACTTTTATAAGAGATTGATAGTTTATACTTTGCAATTTCTGATTTCCAGGAGCAATTAAATGCGTCTAAAAATTCATTATCCTCGCTTTTCTCTAACTTGAACGTATTTAGAGCTAGAATAAACAGTGACGTGTTTCATCACCTTCGGATGAAAACTGTCCCTAGGCCGTTTTTCAAGTCAATGAAACCAATGGAATAAAATTTCTGTGTAGTGTAATTATGATACTTTCCACGTGAAAAGAAAATTTACTGTATTTTAAATCACATTCTGAAATAAATGAAGAGTCTCCCTTTTAACGAAATAATATACATTATAATATTTAATTCCTAGTTACCCTCTTCCTCTTTTTAATAATAATCAGGCTTTGTATAGAAGGGAGCTTTTTTAATATAATGGCTAACACTTTCTGATGTCAACTAGCAATTTAAGACCCTGAAGCCTTTAATCAGTAATAATGCATCAAAATATGTATTATAAATCTTAATAGTAGCTTACATGCGAAATGAACTAGACAAATCATTAAGGTTCACAATAAAATTGCTAAAAATATACTTAATAAATAAAATCCTTGAAAACAAATTCACGTAATTTTGCGGGAAAAACAAAAATATATGACCCTAAATATATTACGTTATTAACATCAGTCTCTGTTTACTTTCTCACAAACAGGGGATTAACGTATCGAAAATTGCGATTTTATGCTCACAATGTGCAATTCAATGTGCATTAGAAAGCTAAAATTTTTAGAATAATTTTTACTCTTCTTTTGTACCATCCATTCGTAGCAAAATTTATCAACTCAGAAGGGGAACAGGAAAATGGGGGAAGACTATTTGTGGGTTTAAAAAACAAATGCTTTAAAATTCCTAGTACAAAACATGAAAAAAAAAAATATTTCTTACCTGCATGCCTTCTGTGATAGGTATTGTCTCCATTTCATTTGATTCGCGTTCTCCTCCGGTTGTCAAGGTCTCTCTTTCTTCCCGCAGCGCCCCTCTGTCATCCGACACCGGGGCGCCTCCGGAATCGCCCGTGATGATAGCCATAGTCCTATAGCACAAGAACACGCTGGCTATGAAGAGTTTTCAACACAGAAGAAAATGTGAAGAGCTATTTATAATACGGTTTCCTGCAAAACAGTGTTTTGATACTACGCCCTGTGCAGCTTTCGTTTTCCTTTTTTTTTTTTTTTTTTTTTTTTATCCGATCTCGCTTCAGTGCACGTGACTCGACTAATTGCTGGTGTTCGCTAACGTTCACAGAGAGCGTTCACACAGCGACTTCAGCGCTGGGCGGTCGCCTTACGACTTTCTGCCTACTTCACCCGTCTGAGACGTCGCTTTTCGCGAAGCATTTTGTTAGAATGTGAAATAAATAAATAACTGAAATGAAATAATGAGTCACACAAAGCTGAAAAGAAAAGACGGAAGAACAAGTTAATGTTTTTTTTTTTTTTTTTTCCCTCCCCTTCTTTCTCAGACAACAGGGAACTCGCTTACCTATTATATTACAGAAAAGAGTTATTAGTAAGGGAAAGTATATCAACCTAAACTGCCTAGCTATTAAAACTGAATACGGCGCTATTAAAAGAGGGTCTGAATATTATTTCAAAGCTCTAGCAGCTATAAAAACTTTACTATATCTTCTTGATAACTTTTCTGTTAACTTAACTGTCGAAAATTGTAAGAATTATGAAAGACTGGGGGATTAAAATAAAGACTTATTTTACAGGTGCAGTAGCGTACTTATCAATAATTTTTACATTTCTTTAACGGCTACACATAACTACTAATAAGTGCAAAATTTATATGGTGCTTTGCTTTGTGTATATGTATATATATATATATATATATGTATAAATTTAAAACATCTAAAGTTAAATGTAAATTGGAGTCAAAGCAAGGCAACAATGTTAATAATTGCGTCCTTGTAAAGGGGTTAAAGGTAAAATCAAAGCATTTCAAAATGAAAGTGATCATAGTAGTACAAACTCGAAAATAAAAAATGCAAAAAGGGAAAATATATACGAGAAAATAAAAATATAAATATTAATTTCCCTTTATTGAAACTTTAATTCAGAACTCCTCAGAGAAAAAGGAATTAAAGCTTCATAAAAGTTAATCTATTTGTTTATCTATGAATCAGTGCATCTATCTACAAATCGGTATACCTATTAGTATATCTTTCTATCTATCTATGAACTACAGCTTCATAGATAGATAGATAGATGTATTGTAGGTCGTCGGAAATATTTATATTATGCGCATGTGGGTGTTTGTCAGCAACTGATGGGCCTATTTTTTTTAATAATTTTTTAACTAAATGTTAAATTTTATTTACCAAATATTTATTAAAACATATATAAACAGTAATGATTAGTGAAACAAAGGAAAGAATTCCAGTTTATATTTATTTTCTGCTCGAAATCTAAAAGGTGGTATCTGCGAAAAAAATTCTGTTTGTTAAAGTTTGTACTTCAAACGCATTTGCTAGCTAAATATTAAATTTTCAGACTGATATTTATATCAAATAATTCTAATACGTTTAATCAATCACTAACTGGCTTGCTTAAACTAAAAATAAATAAATTACGGAAACTTTCCAAGTGGGACAATAGTGACAAACTATTATCTTTCTTTTATTTACTGAATTTTTCTGTTACGTATACAAAAAATATATGTATATATTTGTATGTGAATGATTATCAGCTTTTGAATTTTTTACTACAACTTTTAGCTACTACAATCTTATAGCCTTATATCCATATACGACAGTAGGCGTTTCAATTTTGGTAACGTTTGTAACCTTGGAAAAAATTGAAATTGTCACAAATAATGAATGCTCATCACCCAGGTTGGTTTCCTTTTTTTTTTTTTTTTTTTTTTTAATTTTAAAAAAAAGATTTATTAGTTTTCTGCTGAGGGGGAAAAAAAGTTGTTCACATATACATATAAATAAGTGTGTTCTCAAACAAAGCGATTATTCATACTACAAACATCCGTAGCTAACATTACTAAAATTTATCTTTTGACGAGTGCGAAAAAAGATTAATCAGCTCCGTATCTTCAGATACAGTAAGATTAACACACTGTAAATTAATTAGCTCTTATTTGTAGAATTCCGAGGTTGTACTGATGTCCGTTTTTAATGGCAATGAAAATAACGTAAAATTAGATTCGAAACCAATCAAAATCTTAAAATTTTCTTCTAATTCTTATCATAATAATTGTCATAAAAATGCTAATTAATTTACAGAATAGTAAAATTACTTTGGAGGCCACCAGTCTGATACCACTGACCTACGTCATGCAGAAAACAAGATAGAAACTAATTGTGTGCCCACCAGCGGCCGAGAACACTAGGAAGCGCTGAACACTAGGAGTTCAGTCTCGGGTTCGAGTTCCGGCGAACGGGCTGGCTGCATGGGGCGTTTTCGTGGTTTTCCCCATATGTAACGTGGATACGAGCCAGTTTCCCTTAAAAAGACCTCCACGGGGCATCCCTCCCTTTCCGTGTAGTGCATAAGGGCGGAGCACGTAATAATAATAATAAAAAAATAATAATTGTGTAAAAACAAATATTCGAAAATTTGTCGTTTTGATCAACTAAATTTTTAATTACAAGAAAAATTATAGTGAAGTAGCTTGTCGAAATTGCTTTTTATTTTGTTAAACGTTCCTTTATCTAGATTAACAGATTAATACAAATATGCCAGACATACAGGTCACTAAATTAAAGATTAAAGCAGAAAATAACACCTGTACATGTTTTAAGAAGCAGCGGAAATAGGTTTACCTGCTTTCTTTATCAAAAGAAAAAAGTAAAAAATACTTGCTGGGAGACTGCCAGTCTGAAATACCTTTTAAAACTCGCGTTCAGCTCTGAGCTGCTTTTCGAATTACTCTGAGCTGTGTCTATGTAAAAAGGTACTTTTATTAAATCTGGTGAAACGCGGAAATCTTAAACTCTAGGAGAATTGACTTCTTCCCTTACTGATAGTTTGCATTTTTATTTATTTTTAATATTGATTATGCACATGAAGCATATACTCAATAAAGCAGGAGATATTTTTAGGAAGCATGGATTCTACGAAAATAGTTAACAATAATGATGTATTATTCTGAAATTATAATAAAATATTCTCGTGTATTTACTTCTAAAGAAGGGGAAGCTTTTAAAGCCAGGCCAACGAACTGACTGAATGGTTGGTTTTCGTGATTTTCCTAATGTGAAATGTGAATACGAGCCAGCTTAGCATAGAAAGTCCTCCACGAAGGCCTCTCTTCTCTTAGGTAGATATTACCCATGCGCTTTACCGTATACAAATAACCACAACCATAGTATTATACCTGAATTTTACCTGAAAACCTATTAAGAGATGAAAATCGAAGTTTTTTCTCCTGTGAAAATGATTACAAACAACACTGGTAGTGCTCAGACTATTTAAAAAGGGTAACAAATATAACCATATGCGATAGCAGTAATGTTTCCTTACTTTTCATCAGTGTTCTTGAGAAGTCAATATGAAATATATTTATTTATTCTTCGTTTGAATGTTCTTTTTTTAAGTAATTCTGAAGCTCAGATTTTTTTTAATTTACTTTATTTATTTATTTATTTATTTTATATATATTTGAAGATTTACTGTTAAATACCTCAAAAATACACTGGTGTGCAAAGTAAGGAGAGACGGTTTTTTTCAATATAATTTGTACAAAAGCTTTCCAAATCAACACATTTAATACCGTAAGATCCCAATACGTAAGGAGATGTATGTAAGCAACACTTACTAAAAGAGAAATCAGAGGGATAAAAAGAAGCTTTATTGAAAAGTAGCATGGAGCGCAATGCGACTGAAGGCCGAAAACCCGTGATGGGTGTCCAGCAAGAAACATCCGGTCTTTAATAGGGGATATGATCTCCGATGTTAGGCAGTTTCAAAGCGTGCCATGCTGAGAATGAGAGTGTCAATGAGTTGTTAAGGCATTGTTGCCCATTCGTCTTGCAGCGCCAATCGCTCCGGAATCGTTCTGGTGGTAAGGTACGAGCTGCCAAGCGTCTGCCTAGAAAATCCCATACATGCTCGATGGGATTGAGATCCGGAGATCGTGCCGGCCAATCCATGCGTTCAATATCCTCACTCTCTAAGAGCTGTTCGGCAGCTACTGTGCGATGACATGGCATTGTCGTCATGCAAAGGCACTGCGGACCCATAGCGCCTCTAAAAAGATGCGCATATGGAAGAAGAATCTCGTTACAAAAAGGGTCCCGTTGACTGAACCTGCGTCGAAGATGTGAAGGTCTGTACGACTACCAAGCATGATGCCTCCCCAAACGAGACACCGCCACCTCCAACCTGTCCCTTCAATGATGTTGAGGGTGATTGCGGCTTCCCGCTCTCTCCAGATGAGTATGCGATGAATCGCTATCAGACTGAATTGCTCTCATCTGTAAAGAGTACTCGTCCCCTTATTGTATTCTCCAATTCCGGTGTTCCCGGCACCACAGAGAAGTCTTCTCCATGGGTAGGCGTTAGAGGTACACACCATACAGGGGTCGTGCAAACGACGACCATCGTGCAGTCTTCGGCCACGGTAAAACGCGATTCGGTCGTCCAGTCGCCTTGTCGTGTTTCTAGCGATTTCTCCGCAGTCTGCCGCCTGTTTCTTCTGACTGTAAGGCAATATACGGGTCTCTGCGGGTGTGGTTCCTCGTAGACGACCACTACTAAACCCCGGATAGCTGTTCCTGTAGTTTGAAATTGTCTCCCGTCGTGATACAATGCTGAGCAATTCCGACTCTGCAGCCACACTTGTCCCACTGCGGCCTTCCTCAACGTCCCAATGATTCGACCTCGGGTAAAAGCATCCAGATGTCGTCTAACAGATGTTATTGCCATTTCTCGCTGAGGCAGCAACTCGGTGATTTAACTGCTATTACGGCGTGCAATCTCTTTGCCAGAAATATGATTTACAACAGACAACATGCTTTATATACTCAGACACTCCCCCATACATCTACTGCATATCTGCGCATGTGCTACCGTACGT